TGATGGGACCATCCTCGGAATGAGCAGGACAAGCAGCAGCACCAAGAGAGCTCAGGGCAGCAGGGCCAAGCTGCATGAGGAGGTCAAGTACAGCTACCCCCATAGTCCCTGCTCCCACCCGTGGCCCCCCCGTACCCCAACACAGCCCCCCCAGACTCACGGGAGGTAGGCTGAGCCTCCCTGCAGCTTGGCGCCTTCCCAGAAGCAGTCCAGGGGCGTCAGGATCACGCAGGGGAACAGCTTCTCTATCATCTGTGGGAGGAGGAGAAGCGAGGGGTCAGCAGGGGTGGGTCAAATCCCTTCCTCCCTTGCTCCCCTCCCCAGCCCTGCCAGGCTGCCCAAACCTGCGCCCTCCTGCAAGGAGCTGGGGGTGCCTTTGCAGCACCAAGACGCCTTCAATCCCCACCACAGCCCAGCCGCTGCCGGCGTCCTGGGGGACTGATCCCCCATGGGGGGGCTCCCCGAGGGTCACGCCATGCCCAGCACTCACCCTCTCGATCATGCCGTTCTCAATGATGGGGACACCCGACTTGTAGCAGATCTTATTCAAATCCCACGATCTGGAAAGGCAGAAGGAGGAGCTGAGGACGGGCATCATGGCACGGGACATACGGCAAGGGGTGCGGGGCGACACAGAGGGCATGGCCGGGGGTCCCCATCTCTTAGCACTCACTTTCCGTAGAGTGAGACTTGGACTTTGCTGGCGGCCAGGGCCGCCTCGAGGTGGAGCTGCAGGGCCTCCTGCGTCAGGATGTTCTCCCCTTCCTGCTTCGGGGTCTGGATCAACATTTGGGAGGTGTAGACGGACTCCTCGCCCAGCTTCTCCTTGGTGTAGCGCAGCTCCTGGCTCACCCGGCTGCCCGCTGTGGAGAGGACCACGATGTGTCCTGTCAGTGCCAGAGCCCCCCTTCCCACCAACCTGTCCTGCCCATCAGGATGCCCAGGGAAGGGGACACCTCACAGCATCAGGTGGTGCAGCGTTAACTGTGGGGACTTCTTGCCATGGGGTTCCCCAGCTGCTGCATCCTCTGGGTGCAAGCAGGGAAGACCCCAGTCCATACTGAATCAGACACCCTCCATCCTGTCAACATGGACATTTCCAGCCCCAGAGCGGCTCGTTGGTGTTGCTTTCCTTGTACAACCCCCACGGATGGACGTCTGGCGAAGCAGATGGGACACAACCTGCCCGCTCCTGGTCGTGTGTAGCAGCAGACACCCAACGCAACTGACCCTGATGCAGCGAATGAAACTGGGGGCACCTCATCCTGTCCCTGGCCCACTGCTCCCTAGCACCCCAAGGCGGGCAGCATTTTGGCCAGGGGTTTGTTGTAGGGCAAGGAGGAGACCCCCCAAGTCTCCATAGATGCAGGCTGCTCCAGAAGGGGTTTGGGGACAACGAGGGGACATGGCACTGGGGACCCTTCTTCTCCCGCTGATGCTCCAGGATCTGTCCCTGACAGCAGCAGGAGCTCCCCAAACAGCAGAGCCGAGGTTTTGGGGAGAAGACACTGACTTGATCCGCACCCTCCTTGGTGCAGAAGAGAAATTCACCGCCTCGCCAGCATGGCTGGGGCTGTAACCAAACCCTGCATGTCAAAGCAGTGTCCCAGGGACAGCCATCCCTATTCCCATCAAATGAAGGGCTCGATCCCACCCAGCGCAGCGAAGTGGGAATGACACAGCCTGGAGGAGAGTGGGAAGCTGATCCCCAAACCCCCCCAAGCGCAGCACCCAGCCGCCCTGTTCCCAGCTCCCTGCCTGGGCAGGGGATGCTGCATGTAGCCCCCACCCCATTGCCGCCCTCCCACCAGGGATGCCCCAGGGTGCCCAACATTGGGGTGCACCCCGAGGCGGTGCTGCTGCTGGGGGAGAGGCCGGCTCCTGCCCAGCGCCGGGTGCTGGAGA